AAAGAGAATTTAGACAGAGGGGTGATGAGGAGAAGTGAAACGAAGAAGAAGAAACAATAGAAAAAAAAAGGAAAATGTGTTGAAAGAAACAAAAAAAAATCGAAACTTACATTTGAAGACACTTTTAATTTAATAACAGTAAGAGTGTCGGCAATAACAACGAAAAATACAAAAGCCAAATTGATACCAAATTCTAAATACATACTAATAAATTTACCGCAATACGTTTTGGAATAAGTGAATGAATGCACGGCTTTTTCATAATAATAGTGACATCCGTCTGAAATAAAAAAAAAAAAAGATATTTAGATAGATAACATTAAAACAATAAAAGACAATGTAATAAAACAACAAAAACTGTCATATAATTACTGCCTTCGCAAACGATTATTAATAATTTTTTTTCAAGAAGAGAGAAAGAAAAAACAAATTTTTTAAACTGGTTCTTTGAAATTTGATTACAATAGGCAACCAAAGTACTCACAAATACAGCCAAAAAAAACTTAATGTTTGTTAAACGTGTAAAAAAAAAAAAAACAGAAAATAGAAAAAGAAAAACTACATAAACTTCATTTGACATTAATCTACTTGTTTACAAAGATAAACTGTTGTAAATATTATTGTTCATTGTCGTTTTTAGTTATCTTTTTAAATTTTTTCTTTGAAAAATTCTCAACAGAACAGTTACTGCCGATACTGTGATAGATGGGTGAAAATTTAGGTGAAAATTGCAAATCAAATAATACACTCAATGTTTTAAACCATTAAGAAAAAGTTAGCGGCAACTTAATCCTACCGATTTAATTTATTTTTCTTTTTTTTTCCTGTCATTGTGAATTGAATCCATTGAAAGCTGACTGGAGTGAGAAAGTTTCCTATATCTGCTAATGTTTCTAATGCTTTTATTATATCCTTTTCGTTTTTTTTTCTGCCACCTCTCCCCCCCGTTCCCCCTCGTCTCCCACCTAATAGAAGCAAAGTGTATTAGTTATACCTGAATAAAAGAAAAAAGAAAAAGACAAATAAAAAAGAAAGGATAGAATAGGTACTACAGATAGTTATTTGATGAACATAGAAAGTACTTATCAGGACTGAAGCAGTAGAAAATCAACAGTTAAAACTGATATAAAAACTGCTTATCAGAAAAAGAGAAGTTCCAATAAAGTTTAGAATTTTTTTCTTGCTTCAAATTATTCTATCTAATAGCTTAAATAACAGAAGCATTTTTCTTTTTGCTATTGTTATCATCGCAGTTTGTTTTGATAATAAAATGCAAGAAACAAAAAGCTTTAGTAAATTATCAACAAATTTCTCTATACAGACAGCTTAAAAATCTAAACGCTTAGATGAAATTTATAGCTTTAAAAAAAAAGTGTCAAAAAGTCGTTACAGACGAAAACTAAAGACAAACAAAGAGATTCTGTTAACAATGTCTTAGGTTAGTTTGAATCTATAGAAACACAGAAATTCATAGCTGTTCGCTGTGCTACTTGAAGCACAGAACCATAGATTTATCGCTCAAGTTTTTAGGTATTTCCTTGTACTGTTCCCTAAGACAAAGACTTCTAATTTGTCAAATATAAAAGCAAAAACAAAATTGTTAAGAGCTTAAAGCAAAAAAAGATTTAACAAAAAATTATTGAAAATTTAGGCTATCAAACTAAACGAAGACTATAGACGAAAGTGTTGTATTGTTGTCGTATTAATCTGTCTATAGTACCCAAAAAGCCCCTAAAAATCAGACCACATAGATCATTATTCCTCTTTCCTTATTTACACTAATATGTTAATAAATGCCTAATAATGAATCTATTTTTTCATCATCTTTTTTTTACAAATTGTATGTAAACATCCAATGCAGTAACCAATTACAATTAATTAAAGGCAACTTAAAAAAAAGAAAAACACGAAAATTAATCATTGTTTAGAAACTAAAGACTTGTACATTAAAAATTACAGTAGAAATCTTTTTTACAAATAAAAAATTGTTAAATAAAAAAGCAAAAAAAAAAAAGTCAAAAAAAAAGATAAAGAATCTTTTGGTTATTCTTTCTGTATATTGAAAC